TGTTAGGCCTCAGGGCAGCAGCGTTCAATGTGATACCCTTTGACCTGCTGTACGTGAGACCTTTACAGTGGTGGCTCAGGACCAGAGGGTTCTCCCTGAGGGGAAACCCACTCCGTACGATCAAGATCACGCGGCAGTATCCCCGCGCCTTGGTTATATGGAGGAAACTCTGGTTCTTGACCCACAGACAACACGTTGGTGGCCTATTATTTTGGTCCCTCAGGAAATTACGCTGTCTGAGGGCAGTGTATATTCCAGGGGGGCCAGAATATTGGAGCAGACACCCTGTCGAGGCAGGGGCTGAGGCCCGGGGACTCCACCCCGAGGCGGTGGAGCAAATATGGGAGTTTTATGGCCAGGCAGAAGTGGATTTGTTCTCGTCTCAGCATACGACGCACTGTCCACTCTGGTTATCCCTCACTCAACCAGTCCCCTCGGGGCTGGTTGCTATGGTGCAGACGTGGCTGAGACTACGTCTGTACGCATTTCCCCCTGTTGCTCTGCTCCCAGGAGTTCTGGAGTGATTCCGCCAGGATGGAATAAGCCTATTTAGTAGCACCACCCTGGCCGAGCTGAATTTGGTTTGCGGACCTAATTTTTCTCCTCGACGGACCTCCCTTGGAGGTCCCGGTCAGGAGAGACCTTCCGTCTCAGGCAGGGGATGCAATATTGCACCCCCGGCAGGGGATTTGGAAACTGTGGGTTTGGCCTCTAAAGGGGGCCCAACTCATAGAGAGTGGTCTCTCAACCGAGGTTGTTGAGACCATTCTAAGCTCCAGAGCTCCCGCTACGAGGAAACTATATTCACTATTTCGAGAGTTTTTCACTTCTTGGTGTTACCAGCGTCAGTGGGATCCGGTTAACTGTTCAGTAAACACAGTATTCGAGTTTCTGCAAGAACGCTTTGTATCAGGTCTATGTCCTTCCACGCTTAAGGTATACGTGGCGGCCATTGCGGCTTTCCACGCCCTGGTGGGTAGTACATTTTTGGGTCAAGACCCCCTGATCACTCGTTTCCTTCGTGGCACTTTGAGGCTGAGGCCTGCAACTTGCACTAGGGTGCTGGCTTGGGACCTTGCAATAGTTCTAGAAGGCCTATCTGGGGCTCCCTTCGAGCCCTTAGATTTGGTCTCAGAGAAGTTCCTTTCTTTTAAGACTATTTTCTGCTAGCTATTTCGTCCCTATTAGAGTCAGACCTTCAGGCCCTTTCGGTCCCCACCTGCCTTGAGTGCACCGGGGATGGCCAAGGCATTCTTACCCGAAACATGGATATGTTCCAAAGGTGTCTACCATTATTCCGAGGCCTATTGTGCTGCAGGTTTCTGTCCTCCTTTTACATCTGCGGACCAGGAAAGGCTGAACCTCTTGTGTCCAGTGCGAGCACTGGATACTTATGTTCATCGGACATCTTCAATGAGGAAGTCCGACCAGTTATTTATTTGCTTTGGATCACCTAAGAAGGGTCTTCCTGCTTCTAAACAGACGGTTAGTAAGTGGATAGTCGAGGCTATTTCACTTGCATACGAGTACTCTGACCATCCGTGTCCCTTGGTGGTCAGAGCTCACTCAACGAGGGGTATGGCGGCCTCTAAAGCCTTGTTATTTGGGGTTTCTCTCCAAGACGTTTGTGATGCGGCAGGCTGGTCTTCACCGCTCACATTCGTCAGGTTTTACAGTTTGGACCTGGATGCTGCCCCAGGTTCTCAGGTGCTTAGTGCTTAGTTCCAACAGACTGACACTCAGGTACTTGGAATTCTGGCGTTTTGGGTATTCTCGTTCCCAAAGCGTCAAGTGACGCATCGCGAGTTCCCTCGAAAGGGAACGTCTCAGGTTACTACTGTAACCATAGTTCCCTGAGAAAGGGAACGAGACGATGCGTCACCCTGCCATACTTCCTGCATCCCTGTGATCGGCTTGCTTCGACTTTTTGAAGCTAATGCCGCGTTTCACCGGATGTGCTCTTATGCCTTCCTGGTCATGACGTCACCCGCCCGTGACGCTCATTCTTTCCATTGGATTAGTTGACATTGATGCTCAGACGCATTCACGCTGGGGGCGTTCCCAAAGCGTCAAGTGACGCATCGTCTCGTTCCCTTTCTCAGGGAACTATGGTTACAGTAGTAACCTGAGACGTTTTCTTGGACTGTCAGATAAAAATGGCAATATATATATATTATTCAATACAAATCAGCACAGCCAATTTAAGGGAAGGTTTCTAGACAGATTGAGAAACCAAATGATACTAATAAACTGTTTGTAGAAATGTTTTTATTTTCTGAAACTGTCTAGCTCAAAGAGTACCATAGTTGAAGAATCACCCAGCTATATTTGAATGTGTTTTTTGATTGTTCTGCTGACAAAACACTGCAAAGATATCTTTCCAAGAAATGTAGGTCTTAAAACTCTAGACAACATGAGCTGTGGAAAAGCTTTAAAGTGGATGCCATTGAAAACACAGCAAGTCTATCCCTCACAGCCTCACTTTCATATACCTGTCATGGTGCTGATCTGAATAAGGTTTATGAACGCTTACGAACTACCTTTGTTTGCTAGCAATATTCCATTTAAAGTTTTATGTTTAAAGTTTTTTTTTATACACGACTAACTTAATCTAACTTTTGTCATACTGAAACATTTGTAAACCCTTTTGAATTTGTATTGTATTACTCATATGAAGACCCCCACTCTTATCAAAATCGAGACAACCTTTTTGATTCAATATCAAAAACAGATCATACTGTAGCTTTGACTATATTCATTGTGTCATTGCGTGCGTTTCCTCATGTATACACACATGACTTTTTCATGCTGAGTGTGAGAGTGGCTCAGATTTGGCAAAAATGACAGTGCAGCTGTTGCATGTTGATTCATGTTCACCATCGGTATCCATTATTGCAGTGCGACATTGATGCGCCATCATGATACTTCACACCATTATGGGAACTTTTCACCTTCAAAATCAGGAATCCAGCTCTGAAAATCAGGGTTGTAATATCTTTTCCGTTTACATATTTGAAATCGATCAATATGATGTTTTCACTGATAGATTCTATAACGTTTATGTTTGAATGTTGAATATTTTGTTACATTGCAGAAAACTAGGCCTACTTCCCAGCTTGAAGAGTCCAACAACTGGAGCCCATAAAAGGGACAGTCTGTTTTTAGATTATAAAAAAAAAAACTTGTGTAAAAATGAGAGTTTTCTCAGAAACATGCTGTTATAAAGAGTGGTTGCAAACCACAATGATTAATGTGCTCTCAAATCACTCTTTCAGAAACGAGATCCAGATCGAAAGGCAACAAATAGTTTGTAATTTTAAATTGTTAAGGTGCACCAAATGAAAATTACACAATATGAACCCAAGTTCATTTCATTCTCCCAGAAAAGACAAAGTGCTCACACCACTTGTGCTGGAGCCCAAAGTATAAAAAAAAATCTTTATTGTAAATTCAATTACTCTTCTCTACAGCCAAACCACAAACATATGACGAACATAGAAACAGAGCAGAGCTGAACATACCAACACACACACGCACATTGACACCTACAGTGTGAAACAGTCTACACAACAACATGACAAAACACTTTGAAAACAAAGACAATAAAAAAGATGAAGTAAAACCACACAACTTCCTATGCGGCTCTGCCATGGCAGAGAAATAGAGTTGGGAAAAAAGAGAAAAACTTCACAAATAAAAAAAACATCCACTGAGAGGAACAAACCATAATTTGAGAAAGAACAAGAGACAGGCATCTAAAAGTGGGCGTCGCAAGTCAGGTTTGCAGCTAACATACAGTAAGCACACAGGAAACGTCTCTTTGTGTTAACTTGACTGTTTGGCTTTTTATTCCATGCGAAAGCTCAGCTGAAATTTGAAGTGAAACTACAGAAAACCAGCAATCAGCCCCTTTGTGCCGAAAAAGGTTTTGGGGATGGCAGAAACTGATTTTGGATCAGTACGTCAGGGCTTTTACTGAGAATCGGACACAGTAACACAGCATTTTGCATTATACAGGCGGACAGAGCCCTCTAGCGTCCTACAGTAATAAAATAGAAATATGTTAACAAAAAATAAATTCATATATAGGCTACTGGATATAGGTAATTTCTTTTCAATCTGTTGGTTATTAATTTATTTATTATTTGTGTTTTACATCAGCTCTACATAATGTCCTGAGTGGGCAAGGCTTTTGTGCAGGTGTACGAGTAGGAGAGAAAAAAAGATGCCGGTTGGGAACGGGCTGACATGAAGAAATGCTAACCTATAGGATGGCCAGTTCAGAGCAAGTGTAACCATGACAACAGGTTCTCTTGTTTTGCACATTCTGAAGAGGAAAACATAAGAACAGATGAGGTCATCACCTGTTGTGCTGGAGAGAGAGACAGAGAGAGAGAGAAAGAGAGAGAGAGAGAGAGAGAGAGAGACTGTGATGGCCTGTGTAGTGTAGTGTGAGCCGAGATGGTCAGCAGACCTCTCTCTCCCCAAAGTGTTTCCATCAGTTTTCGTGGGACGGATGAGAGCGGGGGTGTGTGCCGTTTCCCACGTGTGCCGCAGTTTCAATGATGTGAGTGACAGGTTGTGTGCTGCTGCTGGTTTGGATGCGGGTGTAACATAGTTCAGATTAAACACAGACGGCGAGGGGATGGTAAGACCCATTCAGTCTGTCGGTGCTCATGTAAGTGCACCGAACAGCCTTGCAACCTTAACACTCTTTAGTGTACAGAAGCAATACATTGCAATTGCCATGGTAACAATAATGTCGTCTGCAAGAAAGCATTCATTTAAGAGTGCAAAGGATAATATGCATTTTCTTCAGATGCAACAGATATCTGAACACCCCCGAAATAAAATGACAACCATTTAAAACCAAAACCAAAAAATTAAATGTTCCTTACAGTAGTACATTTTGTTTTAAGGGTTTCAAAGACTTGTCCTGCGAAAAGTCAATTTGAAAATAAAAACAACACACACACACACACAAAAAAAAACACACGCACAAATGAAAAGAGATAACATGCATCTCTCTCTTTTTTTTCTACAATACTGTTTGGTGGTATTTTATAAGAGGAAGGCTCATAGTATTTTTTTTTTCTTCCATTAGTTCCTTTCTCTTCTATAGAAACAAGGGATGGGAAAATAAAGAGGTATGATGATAGGAAAAAACAGATAAAGAAAAATAACCGAAAGTCATGAAGACCCACACTGAGAAACAAATGGGGAAAATACACTAAGAAGAGGAGAAGAAAATGTGATTAAAAAAAACATTATTCAGCGAGAGAAGTCACAAATGACGAAGGTCAAGAGGTCATGACTGCTGGCCGCTCCACTGGCCCTCCATCGGTCGACGGAGCAGTTCCTCTACATGCCTCGCTACATCCATGGTGTCGTCCAGATCGAAATCGCCATCAGGGTCCAGCATAGGGTCAACACTGAGAGAGAGAGAGAGAATCGTAGTAACTCGCACACAATTCTATAGTATACACCACATTTAAGAAGGTAATTATATTAAATATTTACTATAATAGATGTTATTATCTAGTCCAGGTGACATCAATAGATATTTTCTGTGCTGGGTCGGGAAAAAAAATGCAGTATTGATTAAAAAGTTTTAAAGTGCTAAACACGTACAGTATTGGAATCATAATTGCTTAACTAACAAAAATATTACATGTAAGAAAAGTATGGGCCATTTTTATATTTTGCACTAAGTAATAAACTACTAAAAACAATGTACATAATCTAATAATAGAAAACTCTCATCATGAGCACAAAACAAACCTAGTCATTTAAAAAAAAAATTGTCTTCCCTTGCAATCTCTAAATAATTTTCCAAATTATAACTTTGTTTATTAGGAAATGCTCTTAATATGCTGATTAATAATGCTAAATGTAAAGAAAAAAACAAAAGGTCTAAAGACGAGTTAGCTTGTCACACACCTGGTTTAGTTAAACGGTCGGAGTCATCTGTATGACAGATAAAAATAATTGAATTTGCCGCATTCTCGTTTTCTGCAGCTTTTTAGCAAAACTTGATTTTTCTGCTCGCTGTGTTTCAGCTACTGTTGTTAAAACAACTACGTCATCTGCAGCTCTTAATGTGGCGCTTTACATCTTTAGCGGGAGTGAGAAGCAACACACACAGAGCAAAAAGGGTTTGAATGAAGCGCGTTTGGCTCTAGATAAAAATGTTAGAGGATGTAGTGGCAAAAGATTATTATCATAAAAGACTCTATAGATTAGTAGACCAATCACAGCCGATTGGGCCATCTGACCAATCAGAGCAGAGCAGGCTCTCGGAGAGGAGGGGTTTTGAGCATAGACAGTAAAAGAAATGGACACAGCGACCCCGTTGATTTCAACGGAGAGAGTTGAAGCCCAACATGGGCACTCACTTCCTGATAGCCAAGCGCACTGCGCAGGCTCAAACTGAGCTTGACGACGTAGAGGTCACGTGAGCAACCGTTCTGACCTTCTAGTAGCTGTGCCGGGACAAATCTGAATTGAAATCTGAAACAAATCTGTTGTTGAAATATTTTGTCCCGTTGCTTTTATGAACTCTCTATCTATGGGCTTCTCCCTTGACTTTATGCCTCCATGTCCACCCGATTGCCTCATAGACAGTAAACGATTGCCTACGAGCTTCTACTTCTGTCTTTACGGTAATTTCTCTACTGTGCGACAGAGCGTCTCGTGGTTATGACGCAATCGTTAGCCTATTTTTACAAGAATGGCTTCTACGGGGCCATAACGTAAGATACAAAGTAATGGAGCCTTTTATACATTGTCGTGTTTCTTTAGAAATAAATAATGGACAAATGGAGTCTTTGGACGCCTCAGATGTAAAGTTATTCGCTGTCAAAGTGACGCCAAAATGAATGGGAGTCAATGGGATGCTAACAGCAAGTGATAGCCAGCTACAATGGCGGCCCCCGGAGGCAGCTTCAACTTCCGGCTGATGGATTACCCCCTTGGTTTTGAGGGGTTTACAGAGACTTTATCGAAACATTTCAGACACTTAAAAAAAAAGGTGATGCTGCAGTGAATATTATAAGAAAAGTAAAGTGTTTTTGTTGTTGTTGTTTTTTACCTTGGATGCATGTAAACCTATTGCAGGAGACTTCCAAAGCAAAATTAGGAAGCTTTAAAATAGCATAATAGGGGCACTTTAAGAATAACAACGCTGATGCAGAAACATACAGACAGACGGAAACACACATATATCTGTGCACTACTCACATGGGAGGATAGAGTCCATAAGTGTGCTGAGGATTGACAGCTGGAGATGCCGCATGGTCCATGTAGTTGGGGTTTGCTGCAGGGTCAGGGTTAGGTGTCGCAAACCTGTGTCAACAGAAACGCACACACAGATAGACAAATATTTAACATCCCCTGTTATTTTAGTATTATTTATATACTATTATTGTATTTATTTATATTTTGAATTATTATTTTGGTTTTATGTTTTCAGGTTTCATTTCAGTTTGATTTAGTACTTTTGTTTTGTTTGTCAATTTGATTCATTTTAGTACTTCAACTTAAAATTATTTTATTTCAGTTAGTTGCTAAGGCAACGCTTGTGATTTTAATATTTATTTAAAAAAATATGTTTTTCATTTAATATTGAGAAACGAGTTTGAATCCAGTCCGTGTTACAGTATGTATTGATACAGCTTCCCGTAACATTTCCTGTCATCTTTCTATTCTCTTCCTCAATAAAATGTCAGAAAGCTCAATAAATAATTAACCAAAGACTTTCATTCTACTCAGCTCTAGTGCACAGCTTGCTACACACACCAGTTGAGTGCTAGCGGTCAGAGTCTAACCCTTGTAAAAAGTAAGAGCTTGTTTATTAAATCACTCCCTCAAAATGCTGATGAGAAGAACTGAATTATCTGAGTCTGATGATGTATAACTCCCTGCTGAGTTTGACCGAAGTGTACGGCTTGCTAACAAAACAGACGGGGTCGTCCACCTGTGGACAAATAATGCTGCTAATGAGGCTAACAGAGCTAAGTATATTCTGAAGAGTGGAATGAGAGCAGAGTCTCAAGTATCCGTGGCAACCTGTAACTGCCGCTGAGGCAGGCCAGGGCTAATGCAATGTGCGCAATTTGATTTACCGCTCTGAGATGACAGGTTAGCTCTAGAATATCAGAGATTTAAAGACCTGTACTGAGGTCAGAAAACACACAGACACAGTGGTGTGTGTGTGTGTGTGTGTGTGTGTGTGTGTGTGTGTGTGCGTGCGTGCGTGCGTGTACTTACTCTGGCACTACTTGTTTGATCTGTGGTTTGACGTATCCGTCCACAGCTTTAGCTAGAGAAGTGGAAAAGATAAACAGATTATTCCTAAACCATAACATAACACTGGCTCACATTGCTATATTTACACATGAATACAAATGTGAACACACACAGACAAACACACTAGATTACCCAGAGTGATACACTTTCATTTAAACCCAAGAACATAAACACACACACACACACACACACACACTAGACGTTTACTTAGCTATGTAAATGGACGTAATGTAATGGTTTTATACTGTACACACTGTATATTTTCTGCCCTTACACTAACCCTACCCCTAAACTTACCATATATTTTGAAAAGGCATAATTTAGTATGATTAAGCTGTTTTCTTCATGGGGACCCAAAAATTGTCCCCATAACGCAGCAAATACCTGAACCACACACACACACACACGGTCTATTTATAATGATTTTATTGGCTATATAAAATTAAGCACCTTTGTGCCTATTGTGGGGATTTTAATGTGCTTTTTAATAGTTTCCTAAAGACTGCATAATTATACTAAATTCACAATCCTTCCTTGTCTTGTGACTTCTGAGTAGGGTGTTAAAGGGATGCTCCACCCAAAAATGAAAATTCTGTCATCATTTACTCACCCTCAAGTTGTTGCAAACCTGTACGAGTTTCTTGACTTCCATAGTATTTTTTTTTCTACTATGGAAGTCAATGGTGCCCCACAACTGTTTGATTCCAATCGTTCTTCAAAATATCTTCCTTTGTGTTCAGCAGAAGAAAGAAACTTATACAGGTTTGAAACAACTTGAGGGTGAGTAAATGATGACAGAATTTTCATTTTTGGGTGGAGTATCCCTTTAAGACAGATGTTTTAATGGTATCTCTGATTTAAACTTGCAAAACAGTATTGGTAAGTTTAATTCATTTTCATGAATCGTTTCATTCAGTCTTTTTAAATGAATCTTTTAAAAAATCTAAATGTTCTTCGAAATTCTCTTAAAGTATGTAATGTAATATTAGTGCATATAAATAATTTTTAATAAATATATTAATTAATAAATAAGTAAATATACACTACCAATCAAAAGTTAGAAACTGTTGATTTTTTTCTGGGTTTTTGAAAGAAGTCTCTTATGCTCACCAAGGCTAGCCTGGTTAAAACCAGACCATTCTCAGTTGTAACTGAGTTATGGTCTGGCAAAGCGTCATAGACAAATCATTTCCAGAGGGGCGTCACCAGCAGACGTCGCGGATAGACCTAAACCCAATCAGAGCGATGAAGGAGATGACGTATGCAGAGCGGCGGAGAAATCTCTCCGAGTGTTGTTCTTTGCTCGGTTTTTAACAAAAAGGAAACGTTCAAATCGCTTAAAACAGACGCGATAGCTGATTCAAACGAGTGATGTTCAACGGCGGCATCCATCTTTGTAATGTAGGCTACAAAATCTGCTTCAAAATCCCAGCGCTGCCGTCATCGTGTAAAGCCCGCCCCAACGTTTCTGATTGGTGCCTCGATTTCGACGGATTGGAAATGGGCTTGAATGAGCTCTTTGCCAGACTAACTTTCAGAGCAAATCTAAATTTGCCGGAAGTTGTCTGGGTTTTCCCAGGCTACACCAAGGCTGCATTTATAAAAAAAAAAAAAAAAAAAAATACAGCAAAACATTTCTTATTATTCACAATTTTGAAAAGAGTTGTGCTGATTCATATTTTTGTGGAAACATGATACATTTTTCCTGGATTCTTTGATGAATAGAAAGTTCAAAAGAACAGCATTGATTTTAAATTGTGATCTTTTGTATAATTTATAAATGTCTTTCCAGTCACTTGCATCCTTGCTGAATAAAAGTATTCATTTCTTTTAAAAAAAATCATACTGCCCCCAAACCTTTGAACGATGTATAAATAAATTCAGTAATGTCAAAAAGGATCAACTTTCATATTTTATTTGAAATTCTGTCTATAGATAATTAAAGATCAAGCTTACACAGTGGAGGGGTGTAGTATTTGGAGAAGACCTCATCTTTGGGCCGGTCGGGATAGAGGTACAGTAGATGATTCAGGTCACTGATGCGATCTGCCAGGGAGCGGATAGAGAAGTCTTTGGTTGTGTATGGCATGAGGTTCCACACCATCCTTTCCCCTGTGAAGAACACACATACACACTCTTTTGTAGAAGCTTTGAAATAGTTGTATGTGCATTTAAAGCCACTTTATGGTATTTTTTTGGAATACAGCACATAAAATGTCCCTACACTCTTAAAAATAAAGGTTCTAAAAGGTTCCATTTTTGGTTCCCCAAATAACCCTTCAGTGATCCATTTTTTTATAAGAGTTTTTATCATTTAACATTTCTTTTCTTTCTTTTTTTACATTCAAATCCCTTTTATTTTTGTAATGAGTGTATTATAAATCAGAATATTATAAAGTGCAATCAAGCCATGGCAGTGGAGGAGCAAAGTAATGGTTCTACCTGCTTTGTTAGGGTTCTCTGCCACCCAGGCTATGGTGATGCCACCGATTTCCGAGTCACTGAAGCGCAACAGGAAGGTTCCGTTGGGTTTGGACATCAGCATGTCCTGAGCTTGCTGTTTATTCACAAAGCCAAGAATTGCTCTGGGAAGGACAAGCACACAAACACACGTGAACAAAAACGCATGCAGAAAAGGGCATTTTCACACAGAGAGGCTGTTATCGTGTGTGTACCGTTCAGTTTTATCATGATTTGTACAAAGGAATACAAGTTATGGGCGACTGGGGGTTGAACAGGAAAAAGATAAGAAAACAAGAGAGCAAGCAAGATCTTATCAAACTCCTTGATATTTTATCTTACTCCTTTGTCAATCCATCCATAGTTTAATGGCTTAATGTATAGTCTTAACTAGGACTATCTCTCAATCAGCCAGTTGCCATAGCAAAGAGCGCTTCATAATGAATACATCCGTTATACTGTGTATCAATCAAGAAGGAACAAAAGGACCAGAATCCAACAAGAATGTGATACATTAGATCAGGGATATCCAAACTCGTTCTTGGAGGGCCACTGTCCGGCAGAGTTTAGCTCCAACTAGCCTCAAAACACCTGTCTGGCAGATTATCCCTAGTAGTGTGTTTAATTAGGGTTGGAGCTAAACTTTGCAAGACAGTGGCCGTCCAGGAGCAGGACTGGACACCCCTCTGTGTTATGACCAGTGTTGGGAAAGTTACTCTAAAAAGTAATGAATTACTAGCTACTGATTACATCTTCAACAGTATAATTGGATTAATGTACTAATTTCTCAGTCTAAAAAATGTATAGCATTACTTATTACTATTTACTTTCTAAATCCCATATCAACCTCGACCAGTTGAACAATACAAGGATAGACATGAAACTTTTAAATCTATCAAATAAAAAATATAAAATTGCATAAATTATTCTTGAACTGACAAAGTATTTGAAGGGAGAAGGTTACATTAAAAACATACATTTTAACATTAGATGTTAAATGTTGATGTTAAATCCACAATGTTTTATATACAATTGTTTTATAGTCTATCTATACAGACAGATCTATATTTAATGCAATTAAATCAGAAGTAACTGAAATTAAATTACAGAAAAAATAAGAGTAATCCCTCACTTTACTTTTTCAAGGGAAAATCAATTCAATTACATACATAAATACAATTTATATTTCAATAATTTATATTTCAGCCAAAAATCATAAATAATTGTGGCATTTTCTTGCCTGTCAAATAAGCGCACTTTCCATTGAAAGTCACATATAACCAAAAGAGGAACAAATGTCACTGTTATTTCTTCATGAGATTCACTAGGTCAGACGAGAGTTCTCAGATGAGTGTGAGAGATGTCTTTGTTATGTGAGGAGAAAAAGCATTTATCCTTTCTCTGTCTATTTGATCATTGTCTGAGGTTTTACACATGGATGAATTGTTATCTTCAACAATAAATCTGCAGGAGTGTGATGTTTATATTTCTTCGTGTTCTCACAGAAGTCAGTTCTTACCCATCATTCCAGTGGGGCTTCAGGTGTTTTTTAGTAAGTTCCATGACACCATCAAACCACTGCCAAAATGTGAAGTTCCTGCCTGGTAAACTCTCCTATAGTGACAAGAAGCAAATCGGGTTTTAAATGACTAACATGATATATGGAATTCTAACAATACAACTTTCAAAAACAAAACTAAAATAACTCAATGCTGTCAATATAATATATATATATATACGGTATATATATATATATATATATATATATATATATTTTTTTTTTTTTTTAAATCTACACTGATTGATTGATTTTGTTGCTGATTTTGTTGTCACAATAACTTGAGAAATGTGAGAAAATAAAGGGAAAACTTTGCATAGAGCTGATACAACTTTTCTTTCAGTTACTTGATAATTGTTACAATGATTGTAGATTATAAATCATGTCAACTTAACATTTTAAAGGGATAACTCACCCAAATATGGCAATTACAGTATGTGATCATTTACAATGCAATGTAGTAATTGGTATCCATGCAATTTAAGTAATTGGTCTACAAAACTGTTTGGTTACCAACATTGTTCAAAATATTGAAGAAGAAAAAGAAAATTGAAGTAGAAAAGTTATACAGGTTTGAAACATCATAAGGGTGAGTGAATTCACTCACAATATCAAGTTAAAATAATTCCGCAATTGAACATAATTAGAAAAAAGCAAATGCAAACTGTTGCTTTTCTTTTTTTTTGCCACATCTATTTTTGTAGGACTACATCTATACAGTGTGTAAAGATCCAGTGTTAAATAAGACATAGTAGCAGCATGTTGTAGACTAGAACCTCTCAAATGCATGTATAAAGCTTGTTTCCTCACAGATACTGAACATACAAAAAAGAAAAAATGAAAGTATGCAAAAAACAATTGGCTGAATTTCTGGTACATGTTCCTCACAAGTGATGTGTTCATTGGAAATGGACATGGAGTTGACGTGAATCAGACAGTAAACAGCTAGAAGTGCGTGTGCTACAGTGTTTATGAAACGCAGGCATGAATGCTTAAATCAGAGCATGATCCTCTGGTACATGTTCATTATGTTTTTAATCAGTGATCCAAAAGCAAAGTCACATTACTTATAGAGATGAACGCTTCCTGTCTTCAGTCCTGTCTCCATCTCTTTCACTTTAATCACTCTATTTCTTAGAACATGGTGTCCCGTGTCCTGACCGCTTCAGTAGTTAGCATGGCAGACCACACAGAGACACACAAACACAAGGATGCACTGATGTCTCTAGAATGAACAATGGGGTTTAGATGTGAAAATTTCGGAGTATTTTAAGTTGTTTCTGTTGTTATGAGACAAAATCATTTTGCATTGTGGCGTGTAAGTCTCACAACTGCAGTCCAGTGATGAAAAATGTGTGTCCTGGGAATGGGAAGCCTCATATGCTGCTTCACTCGCTGTCTCCTCATGAAAAGGTGAAGTAGGCTCATTTTCCCCTTTTTGCTCATCTTTCCGTGATTTCATGAAAAAGCGTAATATTGAACTTTATGCATCCGTCGTTGTCACCGTAGCTGATTGTGACCAAATACCTTTTGATTTTATCAGCCCTACATAAAAATATAACCTATGCAAGAGTGCATTTTGTATACTGCTGCTTAGTGCTTAAAGGTGCAACAGGTGATTCTCTATTTTACCGTTTTTTTGTTTTTTTTACAGAATTCTTTTTTGTTATACTGGTTGAAAGTCTCCTCATATCCTGATAGCAATCCCTATGTTAAACGGTCTAAATGTATTTTTATAAATATATATCGTTTGTGGAAGGCGTGGGGCCATAACATGTAAATTCAATCATTATATTCGGTCTGAATGAAATACGATATCCTACCTGCCTGTCAGGGTATTGGTTTTACATACCCTCGTGTACCCTGTTCGCGCAGACATCATACGTCATCAGCGCGTTTCATGCTATGCAGAGTACAGACGTGGGTCACGGAGCACCGCAAACAAACAGCAGCCAATATTTACAGTTCCTTCAAAACAACCAGCTTATGCTGCGTTCACACCATAACTACCGCAATTAGGAGACGGCAACCCGTGACATTCTAACCGGAGCTGTTCACGTCCTCAGACTCGGAATTATGCATTTCCATGTCAATGGTTTCAACACCGCAATGAATCTGCAGCAGTCAGGTACTCTCTAAGTTGTTTACGTTCATTATTATTGTAATGTTATGTGCTTTGAGACAGAGCAGCTGTGTGTGTGTGCGCCTTCATGTGTTTTGAAGGAGGCGTAGCTTTGGACAGCGATTTGGAGGGAGGGTGGGTTCCAGTGGTGTAGTCTACGTGATACGCAGGTATACGGCGTATACCCACTAGAAAATGTCAAGGATTTCCGTATGCCCACTAGGAAATGTCAAAGATCTCCGTATACCCACTTTAAAAAGCGTGAGGATTCGTAACAACATCGTTTTGTGAAAGAACTTTCATTCATAAATTCACCCCGCCGTGACGTCTGTGTTTACGCAGCGACACGGATCGAATCGCGGAATCCAGCAACAAATGTAACTTAGTGTAAAGCGGAACGTCACGCAATTTGGCCATTTTTGAATGAACAAATCAAAAGTAATGATAATCAAATCTCGATATGTACTAAGTGTCTATGAATATTAAAGCTCAAAAAGACTGCTATTGAAATAAACTCTGCATGTTCCACTTCTGCGTGTTTCTTTGAATGAGCGCTCAATGTGTGCTCTACTACACACTGAAGCGAGCGGGACACGCGTTGTGTTTTCAGCGTCTATGAAGAGGACATTTGAACTTCATTGCAGAGCTTTTATGAGAGTCACTTCACAAGAATTTTACCATTTCATTTGATAAAACGATCGTCATTCATTCGTATCATATACACACTCACGAACTTTAAAGTCTTCATGACAACCTGTCAAAATCAAAGTTTTGTATAACTTGAGGAAAATATAACAGAAATATATTACTATTGCACAGTAGAGTATACTTCAAGTAGGCCTAATAATAATAATAGTTTATTATAACACACAGAAGCTCAAATGTCTTTAATTTACAACCCACCAAAATAAAAGTTTGTAGAGAGAAATAAAGTTACCCGAGGAAATTATGCAAGAAATTGCATAGTAAGATGTACTTTTTTAAATAATAATAATCAAATATATTAAAACATAATTTTAAAGGAATATCACACAAGTTTTTAAAAAGTAAATTTTTATTTGTGCTTATAATGTTTAAGTCTTTTAATTGTCAGCTGATAAAACCTGTGCTTCAGGGACCATATAACATCTAAGGCTAAATGTAGCTCTTTACTGGCTGAGTTAGATGGGGGGGGAGGGGGGGTAGGGATTTGTATATCACAGTATACTCACTACAAAAAACTAGACTACACCACTGGTGGGTTCGTATGCTTGCAATGCTAGCAGGCTAGCGTTAGCATTTCCCAGATCCCTAGGGGGACTAAATGCCGCTAATGCCGAGTTCAGACTGCACGATTTTAGCCCCGATTTTGGCTCGCCGACAGGTTTTGAGAAATCGCCGACAAATGCCCGAAATCACAGGCAAATCGGTGCTCGTTCACGCGAGTGACAATCACGCAGTGTGAATGAGCAAAGACGCGATCTGAGAGAATCGCCGACGAGTCGCCGACGCCCGTGAGATATTTGGCATGCTAAATATCTGGACCTGTCGGTGATTCACAATCCTGCAGTGTGAATGTGTTCTGACTGAAAACTACATCGGCGATGACCGACAGCCAACGAGAGAGCAAGATACAGGGAGGAGGAGGAGGAGTTATAGACCAGAATATCAGTATTTTAATAGATAGGCCTATATTTACAATTATATCAAACAGAAACAAAGCACAAACATTTGCATGACCAGCAGCAACAGCAGGACATTTGCAAAATTATTTATTTACCCCCAACTCTCTTTGCAAAACTCAGTCCTTGCTCCCCTCGTCTTCCCAACCATTTCCTGCATAAACTTTTTTTTTTTTTGCTACAAATCAGTGCACAGACAATTTGTAGGCTATCATTTTTAATAACAAATTCAGTGTCGCGCGAGAACTCCGGTCTCACGCACGCGTGATCTTCCGTTATTTCCTATCACTTCTCGCGTTTGTTTGGTTGTGAAACGTAGTTTGCGGACCAGGCAGAAGTTGTCGGCGATTCTTTCTTAAAGTCATGCAGTGTGAAACCTCATGTCGCCGATCCATCGTGCAGTGTGAACACAGCAGCAACTGAATGTTACCCCAGATAGTCATGCAGTGTGAAAACAACAGTGACCCGATTATTTTGAAAATCGTGCAGTCTGAACTCGGCATTTAAAGTGGAACAAATTGTAATTTGCACTAATGTCTGTTCAAAATAAATGAAAAGAAACCTAGCATTGGGAATTTGTAGCTTTTTCCTGTTGTACTGAACTCGCATCGAACCGTGACCCCAAAACCGAGGTACGTACCGAACCGTGACTTCTGTGTACTGTTACACCCCTAGTGTATAGTATATGTTTTTCATACTGCTAACTACACATTGCAAAGTTTCTGGATTGACAACCATATTTAAATGTGTAAATTACTTTATAGTAAAGGAATATTGCAGCTGCCAGTCTCTGCTTTAACCGAGGAGTTTAAGTGTGCCAAGGTCAGACTGGAAATGACCTTAGTAGAGTCACGCGACAAATGTGTAATGGAGGCAGCACCTGTGTTAAAAACTGGTAGAAAGTGGTCAGCAAAGAAATCTGTAGTAGAGGCAAAGGCTGCCCTTCAAATTGGTGATATCGTGGGACAGGTACAGCATGGAAGAGGGGGTTTTGGGCTCAGTTTAGCTCCTCCTAAATGGCACAAGGCAGGCCCAGCTCAAAGGAGGAAGCTGGTAGTCAACGAGGTGCGAAAGTAGGAGGAGAGGATGAGGTGTATAAAGGCCACTTCCCAGGCCAAGCAGGGAGAGTGGATGAGATGGGAGAGTGTGGAACAACGCAAGATGGGCTGTCCAGACCTTTGGTCAATGGAAGAGAGTAGGATCAGTTTCCTTATCAGGTCAACATATGATGTTCTCCCATCACCACAGAACCTAAACCTCTGGGTAGGAGAGGATCCCTCTTGTCCTTTGTGTTCATCACCTGCCACATTAAGGCACATTTTGACAGGATGTAAGGTGGCTCTTAGCCAAGGTCGGTTTACTTGGCGCCATGACCAAGTACTGCGATGTTTGGCTTTAGCATTGGAAGGCAAGCGTAACATGACCAATAAGTTGCCACCTGTTCTAGCAAAACATTACACACAGAAGACAATATTCCTCTGCCCAGGCGAGCAACCACCAAGAAAAGGTGTTAAAACCAATTCTCGCCCAGGACAACTGGAAGCTGCTAGGGACTGGAAAATGCTGGCTGATCTTGATCAACGGCTTATTTTTCCACCTGAGATTTCCACCACTAACCTACGACCAGATATTGTTTTGTGGTCTGGATCAGCACGCATTGTTCAACTGATAGAGTTAACAGTGCCATGGGAGGATGCGGTAGATGAGGCATATGAGAGGAAGAAACTGCGGTATGCTCATCTGGCCACTGAAGCAGAACAGCGAGGATGGAGAGTCCAGGTTTATCCAGTGGAAGTGGGTTGTCGAGGATTTGTGGCACACTCTACAACCCGGTTCCTCAGAGACGTCGGATTCAGTGGCCAAGAGTTGCGTCGCACAGTAAAGAACTTATCTAAAGCAGCAGAGAGGAGCAGCAACTGGCTGTGGTTGAGACGGAAAGATTCTAGCTGGCTGTGTACAGGCCGCCACGCTACGGTTTCATAGAATTCTTCAAAAACTCAAAGAGTCTGGTGGTTTATTTGTATAGTTTGCATAGTAATTACAGTTATTACGTTCCTGTGTATATTGCGTGAATGAGGGTTGGTGTTTGGGCAGATATTGTGTTTTGCGGTAGGTAGTATGCCATACGGAACCGTTGCCACTGAACCTACTTTAACGAAGACAGTGGGGCTCGACAGCCTTAGTCAAACGGGTTGGCGAGTATGGTTGGGTTGCGGAGAGATCGTGAGATTGTGGTTAGGTCACATGTGAACTACGAGGAAGGAGCAACCTCAGCAGCAGGAGGGATGTAAAAGTCAGTAAGCTGGGCTGAGTTGAGTGGGGGACGGAGGGGGGTGACTCTGGGACGCCACAGTCACTGTCGAGCCCTCTTGAGGTGTCGTGGGCTAGTCGACGAAACACTGAGGACGGAAGGTGCCCACTTGAAGACCCTAGAGATGTCCCCTACTCGGCTCAATCCAGACGGTTGTTGTGCTGGTCCACTGGGGAGACCACACTGTAGTTGCAGCCGTTGTGTGTGCTGACGCGCCAAGTACACTGCAGCCGTTAACGCCGGACCGAAGGAGATTCACATCACCATATGGAAAGAAGCGTAAATGGATGGAGAAGCATAGGTTACTGTAAAGCTACGTCTTAGTTTGTGCTTATCTTGGCGAAAGCCGAGTACAAATCAGCATGAAGTTTTAACATCTATTCTCGTGTAATGGAAATCATGCAACTGAATCTGAACAATACAATCTGATACTGTATGTCAAATGATCAGTGCATTAAGTCTTGGAGTGTAAATGCATAGACCTGGTACTTTTTTCTATGTAATCTGCTACTTTGTTCATTTTTGTATTACTAATATTTAAATATAAAATAGTTTGAAGCACTTTGTCTTATGGTCTTGTCCTGACAGTGATTATGTTTTTATTTCATAAATAAATAGCATAGGTTTATATTACAATCAGTTTATGCATTTATTTGGTTTTATTGTCAGTACTGGGCTTTTGTACTTTTTTTTTTTTTGTACTGTGTTTGTGGATGACAGTGTTCGTCCGCCACCACCGAAGACCATTTTTCACCCAGGAAAAACCCTGATGTTTCCTAAATATCTGCAAACATATTATGTTTTTTTATGCTTTAGTACAGTAAAAATAATACTAATAAAAAATACATAGTTTAATGTTAATTTCAACATTTCCTAACACATCATTAAAATCAAAAATTGTATCCGTTAATATTATTGGTAATACTACAGGTTTAATTTACAATAAGGTTTCATTAGTTAGGCTAGTTAACTACTTTAGTTAACATGAACTACTAATAAACAATACTTCTACAGCATTTAATAATCTTATTTAATGTTAATTCCAACATTTACTAAAACATTATTAAAATCAAATGCTGTATTTGTTAACATTAAATAATGCACTGTGAACTAACATGAACAACTCTGTTTATTAACTAACATTAACAAAGATTAATAAATACTGTCACAAATGTATTGCTCATTGTTAGTAAATGCATTAACTAATGTTAACAAATGAGACCTTATTTTTAAAGTGTAACCATATTATTTAATAGTCCTGACTCCTGAGCTAACATGAATTAACAATGAACTATTTAATTCAACAAAAATGTATAAATACTGTAAGAACTATATTGCTCATTGTTAGTTAATGTTAGTTAATACATTAAAGCTGCAGTCTGCAGTTTTTCCTCTTTGTCGCCATCTCTGTTCAAAATCTGCAATTGCAGTCATCCGCGGATAATCAACTTTACGTGAGTTGTACTTCGGCACGGCACAGCGCGGATGAACGCAATGTTTGAGGAGAGTGTGCGGCTGTCAATCACCGCGCCGGTGTGGATACTGGCATTCAGAATCACAGATTATTCTTTTTGGAAGTATGACCAATATAATAATTTTCACCGAAAAATGTCCTCTGAAGAAGTAAGTAACATCCACTTTTGTTCTGACCAACTAAGGGGGAAAAAGCATTGCAGTAAATCACGCTGATTAAATCTAACGATCGCTTATATCACGTCAAACCGTGCAAATTCTACTTTGTTCTCAAATTGTTCATGTTAACAACATAAGCATTGCGTGACTACATTTAAAGCCGTCAGATATTTATCCTTGTTTTCGCATGGGCCCGGTTTGCAGTCTCTTTTTTTCTGTAGCCACTCCGAAGTCATTTTGCATTTTACAGCGGGTGAATCTCTAGTTGTCACTGGTGATTGACGTTTGAACCTTTCTCGATCCGCCATCAAATTGATAAGTTTAATTATATCAGGTGCTGTGAGAAAAGGCTATACATCTCCACCTCCAAACATCCTCACACGCAACATAGCTTATACTAGCCGAGACTCCTTCTTTATGTGTACAGATGTGACGTAATGACACAAAGACATGCTCGAATCTCCCGTGGAAATCCACCAGTCACCACTGGAATTAAAAACATTATTACAAGCTTACCGCTTTGAAACGTGCTAAGGCAAGCAGATAGTTTTGAACACTGGCTGGTTATGTATTTGCTCAAATTTATTTTGGATAATTTTTAACCCAAAAAAGCTACGGACAGCAGCTTTAACTAATGTTAACTAACTTTTGCACATCATTTTAACTTTTTTTTCAAGCGTTTCCACTAATGTTCTCAGACTTTTGGATCCCACTGCATGAAAGCATCAATCATTTGCATGCTTTGAAGATTACTTGGTGTCTATCTGTGCAAGTGTGTGCATAGTGAGTATCAGTGACTTATGCGTAAATAAACAAAGCCATAAACGCATAAAATGCCTAAATTCCAAAGGCCTCAGTTGGGAACACTGCCCGCTTAATGTAGCAGATCAGCACATGGCCATTTTCAAAGGCAGCCACAGCCTTAGGCCTGCCTGCACATCAAAAGCTCTCCGATCAAACCTCACTTTCTGAATAACCATTAACTATTGCAATAGACGAGAAGCAATGTCAATCTGATCGGCTAACATGCTGCCCCGGGTCGGCGGATCGCCACTTAAAATGAAGAAAACAAAGCCAGAATGATGAGAGACTAGTTTAGGATTAAGCCATCTGTGAGAACATTGCTCGATAAAGGCAGTGCTGTTGGGTAACAGAGTAGCTGGTCACAGTCATGGTCAAAAAATGTGTTACAAAAGAACTGGCCATGTTGCTTTCAGCTTAACTGAAGCTCATTTAAAGCTCATGAGCAATAGGGAAGTACAAAAATACTTGTATTGAAGAACAGCTAGATGCGGCGCAACTAAACGCAGGGGTTTAGAGATTTCGAGATGCAGGAATTTCGAGATGGGTTTCAAAAACCGCATGGGACACGTCATTATGACTGATTACTGGATGATTTACATTTTGGACCCAATATTGGGAGTCAATTTGTCTATTTTGCTTCACCAGTGAAAATAGCTCAAAAGTTTGGGGTCAGTTAATACTTTTTATATACTTGTATTGTTTATAAGGATGTATTAAACTGAGTGACATTAAAGACTTATACATGGTTACAAACTATTTTTATTTCAAATAAATGCAGTTCTTTTGAATCTTCTATTCATCAAATTATCCTGAAAAAAATTCTGAATGTATGTAAAATGTAAAAAAAATAATAATAATTTAACTGATAATAAGAAATGTTTCTTGAGCACCAAATCAGCATATTATAGTGATTTCTGGATCATGTGACACAGGAGAAAATTCAGCTTTGCCATCACAGAAATAAATTGCATTTTAAAATGTATAAATATAAAACAGTTATTTTAAATTATAATATTTCACAAAATTACCATTTTACTGTATTTTTGTAAACAAATACAGCCTTAGTGAGCAAAATTTACTTCTTTAAAAATCTAAAATGTTACAGACCCCAAACTTTTGAATGGTAATGTGTGTGTTTATACGTTTATGTGTATACATATCTGAAATATAAATAAACAATTTGACCTCACTAAAGCAACAGTCCATTAGTCTTTATCTTGCATAGGTTGTTGGCTGTTTATCTATTTTTTTTTCTTTGATAGGTATTTCCTTCTATGTATTTTTTCACTGGTATGGATAGACAAGGAAAAACACATTTTACAGAACCTGCTAAACTAATTCAGTACAGTACAGTGGTTGAGATAGAGTTGTGTATTTACCCTGTTAAACTGTGACCAGGTCATGGTCATGTTGCGGTATTCCTCTGAGTTGACGCTGGAGCTGCTGAAGGCTTTCTGAGCGAGGAAGACGAGATTCTCCTCGGACAGACCTCGATTTGACTGCACTTCTGCCTTGTACTTCATATTCAGAGCCTCACACAACTGCGGCCATAACACCTTGTCAGGCACAATAAAGGGCACCCGTCCCTGAGAGAGATGAAAAATAAAGGACCTTATCAAAAACTTTATTCATCAGGCAGGTTCTCAGTGGGTCACAATCACTTTGGTTTTAAGCATGGGCATAGAATTTAGTAGGGACGCGATATCCAGCGACTACTGAATTGCCCCTAGCAGTAATTTTGATCAAACCATTAAAATAAATGTATATGTAACCGCTGTTGTTGTAATTTTGGCTGCATCTGAAATATAGGGGTCGTACCATTGACATAACATGATAAGTAAATACGTTAGAAAACTGTGATCTTTCAAGGATGTGCATTTAATGCATGCAGTAAGGTAAGTGTTTAAAACGTGAACAGTTCAGTTGAAAGTTTACCCTCTTTAACTAAATGTTGTCAAAATGAATGTGCATAGCAAACTGAAATTTCCAGAAAAATTAAAAACAACACTGAAATAAGAGCATGTGGTTTAATCTTTCGATCTGATGCACGTGAAAGTTGTGTTTGTTACATTAGCAACAGTAGACTCCTGGTTGCGTTTTCTTCTAAAATCATTGTTGGTCTAGTTAATTTTTTATATTAAAAGAATATACACTACAGCGTCAATAAGAGTGCCCTGACCCCTAAAAACACTGTAATTTGCACACTGCCTGCAAGCGCTCTACATACATTTTGTATATGTACTCTGATGCTGATGTACTGTATGTTGACAACTGCACTATATGGACAGAGTAAAGTATCTGTTAAACAGCCTCCTTGTCGTCATTACTGACTTTTAACTTATAAGATTACAGAATTGATTAATTGAAGTCAATATAGACTCAAAACCTCAAATCACTTTTTTTGCTGTTATGAATGTATGCTTGTTTATTATTTATGATTATTACTATTTTTGCTTGTTTATGTAATTTATGATATTCTATCATAAAGTACAGAAAGCTAAATTGTAATGTTGTTGGTTTACATAATCAAAATCATGTTGTATGAGTGGGTTGGCTACCATGTCTATAAATAAAGGCTTTAGATTACTTGAAATTGTAGTTAAAAGTGCAAAAATGTCCCCACCAATCTCAAAATTAAACATATGCCCTTGGTTTTAAGCTTGTTTTTAGGAAAATAACAGGGAAATTTCATGACAATATAGAGGCAATAGTACATCAACTCCTTCACTCACCATATCCTGCTTGATTTGCATAAGTATCTAACATGTTCTGTACGCATGCCATTCACTGCTGCCCTTAAGAAAAATTTATTAGTGACTCATAATGATATGATACTAACTAGACATCTCTTGAAAAACCTAATATGAACTACATGTATGCTGCTTTTATTGTGCTTTTTTGTAGTTTGACAGCCACTGGTCACCATTCACTCACTTCTCCTTTTGTGTTCCAGGGAAGAAAAAGTAATACAGGTTTGGAATGACATGAGGGTGAGTAAATGATGACAGAATTTCCATTTATGGATGCACTGTTCCTTTAAGGAGAATATGGGTACAGTAAAGGAATGTTAGTCATATGTCATTAGTCATCCAATCAACACCCACGCTATGAAACATGACAGTTTTGTTTGTTTGTTGTGGGGACTTTGAAATCCTGGTGAGTGGGAGAGAAATTACATTACGTATGGTTTGAAGAATTAGTCTTGTGTGTTGTCAAGTCAGGGCTGATTTTTGATGTTCAACACGGTTAAGTTATAGGATCTTTATTTATCGCCACATGACCTGGGAATTTATTTCCACTACTTTCTTGTGATGTCGCCATATCCTGGTATTAAGTACTTTGCTCAAGGGCACAATAATGATGGCCTGAACTTTAACCACCACACCACCCAACCAAAGATGCACGGATGTTATCAGGAACTAACCGGCTCAGCAAATGCATTGTCCCATAGAACTGTGGCTGTAGCATTGTTGTCTTGACTTCCATGGACAATTACCACCACAGGCAAAGAGAGAGTCTGGGGGGAAATGTGTGGATGAGAAAAATTAATGAACCAAGTTGCAATTGACTTTATTATACATAATTACTTTAATAATATTAATTGTACAATACCATTCAAAAATTTGGGGTCGGTAAGATTTTTTCTTTTGAAATAAATACATTATACTTTTGTTCAGTAAGGATGCATTAAATTGATCAAAAGTGACAGTAAATCATTTTATTTCAAATAAATGCTGTTTTTTATCTTTCCATTCATCAAACAATCCTAAAAAATATTAGGTAGCACAACAGTTTTCAACACTGATAATAATATTTTTTTCTTGCACAGCAAATAAGCATATCAGTATGATTTCAGAAGGATCATGTGACTGAAGACTGGAGTAATTGCTGCCATTAACGAAATAATAGAAAAGTTTTGAACGGTAAAGTGTAGCATAAATATAACAACTATAACTGTTGACTTTGTACTGATAAATATACTAAAACATTAATTTCGACTGAATTAACCAAAAAGCAACTCCAAAATTTACATAGTCATTGAGGCATGTTTGTTTGAAAATTAATGACAATCCATGTGATTAACATAGAAGTGTCTCAGTTATTATTATTTCTACATCCCTATATGTGGTTCATAACAGTTCATGTGATATCTCAATCTCACCTTAACCTGAAATACCAGCTCATTTCCGCCAACACTGAACTGTGATTCAAACAAAATGGTAAACTTCTCCTCTGTAACAGACTCCGCTCCTCGGCGGTCTGAACGCCTGATCCGCTTCAGAGACTACAGAGAGAGAGAGAGAGAGAGAGAGAGAGAGAGAGAGAGAGAGAGAGAGAGAGAGAGAGAGAGAGAGAGAGAGAGAGAGAGAGAGAGAGAGAGAGAGAGAGAGAGAGAGAGAGAGAGAGAGAGAGAGAGAGAGAGAGAGAGAGAGAGAGAGAGAGAGAGAGAGTCACTATCACACAAAACACCTTCCCAAAAATACAAATGTCATTCACAGTATATGAATAAGTATGTAAAATTAGATAACAAATTGCCTAACCAAGTGTTTATAATAAAAAACTTGAAGTAAAACATTTAATGTTTTAGTCATTTTTCATTTAAACTTCCTTTTATTATAAACAAATAAAATATAGTGTACAAAAGTAAGACAGAATTACTTGGGTAACAAGTAATTGTTACACTTTCTGGTTAACAAATGGTTAACAGAAATAATATAATTATTTTGTTATTGTTTGTCATGGTTGATATGTAACCGAGAGTAGATCTCTGTTCTCTGAAGGCACAGAGTAAATTATGAATAAACTTACATGGTTACAGTGTACTTTGAAACATTCACACACTCTTACAGACCTTTTTTCTAAAGTTAGCCCCTAGACGGCCACAGTGCACTCACCATGTTTCTAAAGTGTGCACTGAGGGTGCCTGTGGTCTGGTGGTACTCCATCACACAGTTGTTATTCAAGATCTCGCCACTGCTGTCACTGTTAGACAGACACATATACAGAGAATTTTATTCAGCATGTAGATGTAAAGATGGAGATAAGCATTTTAACCAAGATCAGAGTCCATTGAGTGGCAAATGCAGGTAAAAATTGGGTTTGTGCATAAAAATGTGTGTGTGTTCGTAAATGTAGGATGGTGTATCAGGGTGCCTGATGAAACATGCTTTGTTTTAGCAGCTCCAGGCATATTAGGCCAATTCACAATGAGTAATCAACAACACTCAAAGCAGTTACTAAATGCAATGTGTTGGGTTTCTGCTCACTTTCTGGTGTTTTCATTCTTGAGCAAGGCCTTGGCCTGTTGTTCGCTGATGATGGTGGCTTTGACCTGCGGTGGGTTCATGTGCACGTTGAGTTTGCCACCTACCAGCAAACGCACTGTCGCAGCAAATTTAGTTTGTGTTTTCAGCACCTGAGGAGGCTGCTTTTCGATGATAAAGGTACTGCAGAGAAAACACACACACCCATACACAAATTTACTGTAAATCCTTATCCATAAAACATACTGTAAATCTACAGGAAGAAACACATGTACACTACCATTCAAAAGTAAAGGGCCAGTCAGCTTTCTTTAAAATAAATGAATATCTTTATTCATCAAAGATGCATTAAATTGATAAAAAAGGGACAGCAAAACTCTTGCGAGAGAATGCATTGAAATATATTTCTTCCTCCCTTCTCCCTTAACCCATATGTGTATGATCCGTGCTCTTCTCGTTCGCTACAAAGAATCGGCTCTTAGAGCCGGCTCGTTCGCAATTTTTAGAGTAAAGAGGGATATGGAATGATGAGAAGAGGGGGAACTGGATCAGGAAATGTCATGGTAACACTTTATTTTGATGGTCCCCTTTAAACATTCTGTTGACTATAAGTAACATTTCAAGTGCATGCCAACTTATACTAACCCTAGTAAACCCCTTATTCTACTTACCCCACCCCTAACAGTCTACTAATACTCAACTAACACTCAGAGAGTTAGTTGACATACGTGAAATGTTACATATAGTCAAAAGAATGTCTAAAGAGGACCATCAAAATAAAGTGTAACCAAAAGCACAATTCCTATTAAGCTCAGTTGTTTCAATGACTACTTGACCTGAGGCACCAAACACACACATATAAATGTACCCCCACATTCATCCCCTGTGGTAGGTGTGAACACTGACAGCATAAAATATGATGAGAAAGAGAGTGAAGGAGAGCAGAAGTTTGTAGACATCCCCAGTGTGCCACAAAAGTGACGACTGAATGTCTCTGACAAATTGCCTCTGTTGATTTCTCACTGATTCACACGAGCAGGGTGAATGCTACATAAACTAATTTGGCGCAGAGATGTTCATCTTTTGATTTCATAAATTGTTAGGATGAACAATGTGAAAGAATAGTTTACCCGAAAAGGAAAATTGCGTCATCATTATTTACACTCATGCCTGTATTATGACTATCTTTCCTTCAGGAACAGAAAAAGACTGGAGATGTCAAGCTTCAAAAAGGATGCAAAAACATGATGAAACTATCATAAAGTGGTAAATTTGAGTTGGCTGCAGAAAATTCTGCTTTCCCATCACAGGAATAAATAACATTGTAACATATATATTAAAACAGAAAACACTTATTTTATTTTGTATTGTATTTTACATTGTTATATTTCACAATATGTCATATTTTTCTGTATATGTTTTTACTATATTTTGGATCAAACAAAAACAGCCTTGGTGAGCATCTTACTGGCCCAAAACTTTTAGTAGAGTAAAGGACATTAGTTGCTAGTCACTGAAACTCTTGACATATACCCCAGTTTTCCTAGGTGCATAAATAATGGTTCATGATAGAAGTAACAATTTCATGAAGAATGAACTTTCATGAACTAAGGCATATATTTTCTGTGAATAATGACTTGAATTTCCACCTGTTTCACACAAAAAGCTACTGTACTGTTTGGCTTTAGAAAACTAGGAACATAGTGCATGAGTTGTGTATAGACCACTTTGATACGTTTATAATGCTTTTGCATCCTTTTTTAAGCCTATTTATTGACATTTCATGGAAAAAGTGACTGGCACATTTTCTGTAACACATATTAAAGAAAGTCATACGGTTTGGAATGGCATGAAAATAAGTATTTTTGGGGTGAAATATATCCCTTTAATATTTCTTTATAGATTATTCATATTCATTATTCATATAGGTAGGTTGCAATATCTAGCTATGGGGGTGCCTCAGGGCTCAGTGCTTGGACCACTTCTCTTCTCCATCTACACCTTCATTCGGAAACATGGTTGTTCCTATCAATGCTATGCTGATGACACTCAACTCTACCTCTCATTCCAGCCAAATAATCCAACGGTAGCTACTTGCATCTCAGCCTGACAGAGATTTCGGACTGTATGAAGGACCACCACCTTCAACTCAACCCTGCGAAGACAGAGCTGCTTGTGATCTTGGCCAACCCAACATTTCATCACAACTTCTCCATTCAGCTAGGTTCGTCAACCATAACTCCTTCCAGGACAGCCAGGAACCTCAGAGTTGTGATTTATGATCAGTTGAACTTCACAGACCACATTGCTAGAACTGCCCCGTCCTGCAGATTTGCCTTATACAACATTAGGAAGATCAGGCCCTTCCTATCGGAGCATGCTACACAATTCCTTGTCCATGATCTTGTTTTATCCAGACTGTACTATTGTGTGCTCTCTTGGCAGGCCTTCCAGCATGTACTGATAAACCTCTGCAACTGATTCAAAATGCAGCAGCAAGAATGGTCTTTAACGAGCAGAAGAGAGCGCACGTCACACCTCACCTCATAAACTTGCACTGGTTGCCAATTGCTGATTGCATCAAATTCAAGGCACTGATGTTTGCCTACAGAACTAGACCTATGTGCCCTCCAGAAGCTTGCGTTCTGCAAATGAACGGTGCCTTGTGGTGCTATCTCAAAGAGGCACAAAATCACTTTCATAGACCTTCACCTGGACTGTTCCCTGCTGGTGGAATGACCAGCCTAACTCAACCAGAGCAGTCTTTAGCCATTTTCAAGAAACTGCTGAAGACGCATCTTTTCCGGCAACATTTGACCCATTAATACTAACACTTACTATTCTATATCTGTTTAAAAAACAAAAACAAAAAATAAACACCTTGCTAAGTGTACTGTGCTGGACTAACTGGAGACTGGTCACGGTACTTGCATATTGCTGCCGTATTGTTAGTTTGTTTGCTACAGTTGCTCTCCTCATTTGTAAGTCGCTTTGGATAAAAGCACCTGCTAAATAATTAAATGTAAATGTATAACCCACTTGGAGGCTCTATACTGAGTGAAAAAATAAACACATACAGAAAACTGAAAGGAAGCTAATGCATGACTTTGAATGTGGTTGGCATGTCACCATGGCAACTAATATGATGTTTTCAAATGCATTGTCAACAAATGAAGTCAACACTTAAATTGTAGCAATGCCTAGAAATATTGCCTAGGCAATAAAATGCCTTGGCAAGAGGATATTGGTTGTGTTACTCCACTTTGCAATCACTTAACCGTAACTGAACTGCTACTCTCTCTCTCTCAAACACACACACACACACACCTGGTGACTAAAGCTGAGATGATGTCCGTGATGGTGCTGTTGAGTTCGGTCAGCAGCTCTTCGATGGGGCCAGGAATGGGCAGCTGCTGTCTCAGATGCTCCGCCCTCCGGATCTGCTGACGATTCTGCCAAATGGTTTCTGCTAGCTTCTCACACCTGTGCACATGCACACAAGCAGAAGTGTGTAACAAAAACATGAATGAAAGATCTGCTGTGTTAAGTTGTGTATGTGTAATGTAAATGCAAAGTGTTTGGGTTAATCTGTAGTAATTATAATTAACTTTAGCTTTAAAAACAATAGAGGTCTATGATACATCCTAAGTAAGTGTGTGTGCGCGCACCATGACTGCAGTATGTCCAGTCCTCCCTCAGGCGGCCCGCCGTTTCCAGCCAGCTGTTGACGTCTCTTCCACTGAATCAGCTCGTCATCAAGAATCACCGTCTGCTGTTTCCGTAGCAATGCCAGTGTCTTCTGGTGTTTCTCTGCCAAGCCCTGAGCACACACACACACACACACACACACACACACACACACACACACACTAGCTCATATGACATCACATGAACAGACGTGAACATATGTACTGTACTCATGTAAATGACAAGGAAGTGTTGTTTTCATTTTAAAGAAGACATATAATGGTAAACAGTATCTTTTGAAATGAATGTGTTCCTCTTTTTACCGGGTAAGCCAATCAAAACAGAGGTAATTTATATGCCTTAAAGTCGTGATAAAACAAAAGTAACAACATTTTCTTCTGTATCGTGATGTATACCGAAGTGAAATGGATTATCGAAGATAAATTTTTTGATAAATAGAATTATCAAAACAGCATTTATTTGTAATAGAAGTCTTTGTAACATTGTTGTCTTTACTGTAACTTTTTTATTAATTGAATGCATTCTTGCTGAATAAAAGTTTTCATTTCTTAAAAAAAAAGTGCTATAAATGTTTAAGACGTGGCTCTTAAAAGCATGTGCTACTAATGGTACAGTTTGAGTGTTGTATTATGCTAATGCTATACACACTATTCATTCCGAGCATGTATGTGTGAGTACCAGTCTGTATTTCTGCAGGGTGTTGGCCTCTCGGGTCAGCCAGGCCTCTACTGTGGCTCTCTTGCTGAGCAGGCTGGGCTCTCGTAGCTGTCGGTCTGCTGGAGGCAGCGTGGCCAGGCTTGATAACTGAGCTGCACAAAGCAGAGGAAGATTCAGTCCACAAACATTAGTAAAAAAGAGTTTTTTTCTTCCTGAGCTGACATATTTTCATACACGGAGCTGACATTGTTTTTTATAGCAATTATCTTTACAAATAATGCTTATTTATAAATTATTAGAGGTCTAAATTCAGACTTGATTTGTAATTCAATGGTATTCTCAGGAATTATGTGAACATACATACTGTTTTAATAAGGACATATTTTTCTGTATGATGAGTTGAATAATGTGTGTGTATGTGTGTCCTGTAGCTCAAACAGCAAAGCATGGCTCTAGCAATGGCAAAGTTTGATTTCCAGGGAATACATGAACTGATGAAAAGTATATTTTGAATGCAAGGATAACAGCGTTTGCTGCATGTATAAATGTAAATGTGTGTGGACGTATACCCTGTATTCTGAGGCTCTCCTGGTATTGTATAATGAAGTACTCCTGGTTGTGCTGTAGTTTTCTGAGGTCATTCTCTGTGTCCTGAGTCAATATTCTGAGCTCCTCAAACACCTGGTTTATCTGATGGTACTTCTGCGACATGCTGTCCATCACCCCGCCCACCGGTGAGCTTGACTGCCAATCACAGACACACATGATTGACAACCAACCATGGTTCAACCAAATTATGTTTCACAAAATTATAACAGAATATTTCAGAAAAGCATAGAAGCATGATATAATTCAACTGTTTGTATGTTTTAGTTTTAGTTTTGATAAACTAGCAGGATGAAGAAAGTTTGTAAATACTTTTAAAACAACCTGATCAACGGTTCTTCTACGAAAATCCCACAAACCAAAGCTTTCAATATGTATACTGTCCTTATCATCTCTGTCCCATTGTGTATGAATAACCCACGCAGGTGAGGTTATTCCTCTATGCCCACGTAAGACTGGGTGCACGTATATGTGTGTTTGAGCAAACTATATTGTTTGTGTAGTGCATACATGGTATGTGAACATAAATATTATGCGTTGAGTGGATCAACAGGTGTGCCTAAGAACATAAGGAATGAGTGGGCATTTTCATGTGTATGTATCTAGATTTACTGATATTGTCTTTAGTTTTATGATTTTATGGGATGTCAGTTCAGTTAATAAAATCTGGAAATTCCTCTTTTACTCTCATAAAACTGAGCACTTTCTTGGCAGGTATCATGAATTTGTGTGTAGATTAGTATGTGTATATTTAGCTATGTATGTTCATCTACACATGCACAATGCAAATTCTATTTCTGAAGATTGTAAAAGTCAGTCTCATTTACAGCAGCCCTGTTTATTACTCAATGAAGAAGACAACATAGTTCTCTCTTTTTACAAATGGTACAAACCATTTTTCATGGCTTGTTCAAACAAAGTGTTTATAAATCAGTCGAATGTAGAGAGAACTCTGGGAGTAAAATTATGAGGTCTGTAAAATGTTGGAATCATATGTTATGGAACAATTCACAGACCTGGGTTCCCACACATTTTGACCAATGCAATTCTGTGAATTTTTCCATGATTTTTCCAGTCGTTCATGAGTAACATTGTAAATTTTAAAAAAAATCTATATATAGACATCATTTTCGGGGCAGTTTTCAATGTTCATATCAGGTATCAATTCTTGAAATTAACAGATTTATTACTATCTATTACACTTATCTGTGTAACAAAAACACAATAAATAGACTATTCAAAAGTTCAAGGCCAATAATAAAAAAAAAAAAAAAATTATTACTTTTATTCAGCAAGGACGCATTAAATTGATAAACCGTGACAGTGACAGTAAAGACTTTTTTCAAATAAATGCGTTCTTTTGAACTTTCTATTCATGAAAGAATCCTGAAAAAAATGTATCACAGTTTCAACAAAAATATTAAGCAGCACAACAGTTTTCAACAATGATAATAATAAATTAAGCATCAAATCAGTATATTAGAATGATTTCTGAAGGATCATGTGATACACTTTACAGTATATTAACATAGAAAGCAGTTATTTTAAATTGTAATACTATTTCACAATATTAATGTGTTTACTGTATTTATGATCAAAATACAACTGTGTGTGTGTGTGTACGTATATATATATATATATATATATATATATATATATATAAATACACACATCACACACAACGTTTGGTGTCATTAAGGTTAGATAAGAAGTCTCTTCTGCTCACCAAGTCTGCATTTATTTTATATATATACACAAAATAAAGATAAAGAACACATACGATTAATTTTAAATCACCCGTTATTACATATGAACTGTCCTAATAAACCGACTGCCTACTCTGTCCACTCACATTAGTCGCCTCTCTGACGAGTCTTTGCTCCGTGTACAGGATGTGTTTGATACATCTCACCAACTCCAGAGGACAGCGGTCATATGTGCTCTGAAAACACACACCGAGTCAGAATTAGAAGAAAATACCTCACACCTCCATCTACTCGGTCTTGTTTACATTAACACACTCAAGTACACTGTGCAACACTAATGACAGTAAACACTGCGGCTGCACTGGCCTGACTGGCCTGTTCTTAATAATGGCTGATATACTGTACGTCAACAAGTCTCATTTATTCTATCTATATTCTCTAATTGTATTTCTCTAAATATCCTTTAAGAGAAACATCTTAAACAAACATTTAAAAGAGATCTGTGTGTGAGTCTGCATGTTTTTCAGTGTGTGTGTATAAACATTTATTTAGGAGCTTTTGAATGTGTGAAAATCAAAAGTCTGATCTGTTATCACTTTTTTTTAAACTCATCATTCCTGAACTGTACTCGCAAACAAAGAACAAGCAGAACCTTCAGCTGTGAAGCATAATGTCCTAATTTGATCTTGAGTAAGAAGCCGTCCTCTCCCACTTGATGCTCTGCTTTCTTCTGTAGTTCCTGGATCAGGTTGTCCAATAAACGCTTGCCTTTAATTTCTTCTTGAGGGTTCTCTAAATCTATCGCATCCCTGACAGAGGACATACAGACACAGTAAATAACATAGATGTAATAAAAAATGTCAAAATCTGCAAATCAGTTGCAGTTCAAATGAGCTCAGTCAAACTTTTCACATACCAGAGTTGTCCCTCTATCCACTGGGACAGGTAGTGTCGCACCTCTATGGGGAAGTGTTGCCCGTAGAGAGACTGCATCTGGTGCAGAGCATCTCCCTGCAGCTGCTGGGCCTGGATCCACACTGCCATTTTCTCTCTGACAGAGACGCAGCATCAGGTGGTGTACAACAAACAAGTGAGAGTTAGGGGAAAATTAGAAATGCTAAAAAAAAAAAGAAAAAAAAGGGAAAACCAAAGAGATGCTCACATTACCATGAACATGTTTAGGTCACATTTCACTCCAAAAATTTTAATAAAAAATGAGAGAAGTATATTTAAGATCATTTAATATATTTATTACACGGCTCTGTGGAATACTTGATTCTGATTGGTCAATCGGACCATCCAGCGGTGTGTTATTCCCAGAGAACGACCACTCAAAACAGATAACGCAGGCTCATCCGGGTTACTGAAGTCAGCAGCGCTATAACGTACATTGCTAGGAAAGTTTTTCCTTCATGGAAGTTTTGCATTTGGTGAGCTAATAAAATATTAAAACTCAGTCGAATCAATATTTTGTGTACAGTTATTTAATTATGCCATCCAGTATCGCGGACTCGCTCTCTCTTGTTTCATACAGACGCAGCTGCTGCCATTTTGTGACTATTGTTTTGTACACTGTTGGATTATGAGATACAAACAGGTACGATTTTAAAACAGTTTAATCTGAAATCAATATATCTCATCCCCATAATTATTTATGTGGCGAAATGCTGTTATGTGTAATAAAGTGATATGAATGACTGTATACGTATCTCTTAAATGTTCGTTTAGTTTGAACGTGCCGCGCTGCAACTGCTCTCACCGCGGAAGCTTTGCGTTTAAAGACCTAATAAAATTTCAACACAGATCAATATTTCGTGTCTAATTATGTACTTATGTGGCAATAAGCGGGATAATGTACATCCAGCTGGTGGTTCTCTCAAATTAACCCCCTTCAAGCTGTCCTCCGCTTCGAGGTCCTCATCATCCTGTCCTCATCATTTATTTGATCAAAATAGTAATTTTGTGAAATATTAATACATTTAAAATAACTGTTTTCTATTTTTATATATTTTAAAATGTATTTATTCCTGTGATGGTCAAGATAATTTTTTGTGAGAAAAATATGTATTATAAAAAAAGCTCATATGAACAAAATCAAGATCATGATGAGAATGTGAGCTAAAATGTGTGCTTTATTGTAATGAAAATAATGTACCAATGCAAATAAAAAATTAAATAAAAATATATTTGATAAAGTCATATAATATATATATATATTGGTTGACCACCATTAATTTGTGTTTGTGCAGAAGTGTTAGCTTGTATCTGTGTTTGTGTGTGTTAATCTAATTTATTTAAGCCGTCAATATAACATCCCCACATGACTTGCTAGTCTCTCAACTACAGGCACTGCATAAAGCATCAAATTCTATGCGCATAAACACACTCGAAACTACATATTCAAACATCACTCGTGGCAGGGTCATCTGATCAGTCCACTGACAGTTTTTATGGTGATGACTGCACATGCTGAAAGGAACCAGTGATGTTAGACTGAGGCATCATGCGTTAAAGGGGACATATTTGCCCAGTGGCCTCTGTCCATCATGGCCTCCTAATCATCCCCATATATTCATCCACCAATTGGCTTCATCACTCTGTCTCCTCTCCACCAGTAAGCTGGTGTGTGGTGGGCGTTCTGGCGCAATATGGCTGCTGTCGCATCATCCAAGTGGATGCTGCACATTGGTGGTGGTTGAGGAGATTCCCCCTTCTGCGTGAAGCGCTTTGAGTGCCGAGAAAAGCGCTATATAAATGTAATGAATTATTATTATTATTATTATTACATTTTGCACTTCAGTAGCATTTTTTCCCCCATATGTTTCCCCCTGAATTGCACTAAGTCAAGGTTTCTTGCAACACACACACACCCACAGACAGACAGACAGACAGACAGACACACACACACACGGCTGTAAATAAAATAATTTTCAATAGAAACTCACAATATTAATACCTTGATATATTTTACTTTGAGATTTTTAATACCTTGATATATTTTATTTTGAGATTTATCTGGATTAGTAATTAAACATTAATTAATCTTGATCTTTTAAAAAGTGAAAATGAAACTGTAATCGTATCAAAATTGGTTGGGTCCCTGGACTTCAGTTTGAAAATCCCCTGCTCGGAAGTTGCTGTGGTAAGAAAGTGTCTTCAAAGAACATAAACATGTAAGACAAAGCAGCAGTTAAATGAGCCATGTGAGAAACCGTTGCATTTGATTTGCTTGAGCTGCCACCTATGGGCATATGAGCTTCAAATCAAAACGGAAGTAACTTGTAAGAGAAGAGAGTTCACAGCCCGCCTCTTCCTGTCTAACTCGTTGTGTGTGTGTGTGTGTGTGTGTGTGTGTGTGTGTGTGTGTGTGTGTTCGCATACGTGTGAACATGTGTGTGTTTCCAAGCAGTGCAACCACACAGACATGTACATGTATTGAAAGCTGCACACCTACACAGAGACACAAAAACCACAGATTTCCAGTCAGCTTGCCACACATGCGAACACTACACTTATAAAGAAGGCAGACACAAAACCACTCATTGCCAGTCAACTAACCACAAAGACAAACACTTGATTCCGGTTGATGTGATGGATTAAGGAGACTGATGTTCAATGTGATTTTGGATGGTTGCTGCTGCTGAAATCAGGTCAGATGTCTCTCTGATCTTATGAAGCATTCCTGACCCTGACAGCTCACTGTACACATTAACACTTCCTCTCACACCTCACATTTGGCCTGCTCTCTTCACCACTCATTCAATCCTATTAGATATTTGTTGGCTGCTGATAGGCCTACACTCTTAAAAATAAAAGTTGCAAAAGGGGGTTTTCACAGCGATGCCTAAGAAGAACCATTTTTGGTTCCCCTAATCTTTCAATGAAAAATTCTTGAAAGAACCTTATTTTATTATTATTAGTGTGAAGAACATTTTAATAATCTAAAGCAGGGGTGTCCAATCCTGTTCCTGGAGGGCCACTGTCCTGCAGAGTTTAGCTCCAGCCACAATTAAACACACCTGAACCAAAAATCAAGGCATACTAGAAACTTCCAGACAGTGGCCCTCCAGGAACGAGTTTGGACATCCCTGATCTAAAGAACATTTTCCACTATGAAGAACCTTTTGACAATTGAAAGGTTTCATCATGGATGTTAAAGGTTCTTCAAGGAACCATTGATGCCAATAAAGACCTTTTTTTTTGTATTGGAGTGTTTTTGTAAGAGTGTATTGGATGTTGTTGTTGTTTACACATATTTTAGCATTCAGATCATCATCCTGTAGCACTAACCTAAAGGGATAGCAATAGATTATGGCAAAGATTCAACAGAAATGTTTTTTTTCTTTGTACAATGACATTGTTCACACGGATCCGAGAAAATGACTAAAAACGCTGTATTATGCATGCCAGGTCAGTAGTTGGCGATGTCACTTTGTAAAGAAAGACTATGCGCCTGCGTACATAAGCATTGATTCCTATACAGAGCACTTGCGGCAAACGGGCATGCCTATAGACAAAACATGTAAAATACACATGCATGATGTCACCGTTTTCACAGATTCATGTTTTTTGTTTTTGTTTACACGGAGACGATAACAGTATTGCTTTCAAAACCTTGAACTATGAAACCCGTTTTCAAAAGTTTGTGTTTTCAGAATTACAAATTAAATTACAATTCCCACATCTTTGATCATCGTGTCACATAACGCAGCGTCTCACATTTGCACACAGAATGTGATCACACATGTAGTCCTAAGGCCAGAGCTTTGTGACTATAAGGGCCAAACAAGGTTTTCAGTGCAGCTGTGAACATCATACATAATACATCTGAAGAAGCCATTTTACACAAAGATGCTCTTCTTCTAGACTTCTCATCTGCATTTAACTACAGTATCTAGTTCTCTTGAGGCTAAAGCACAGATCAAGCTGTGATTCCATCACATTGTGAATTCTGGACTTTCTCTCCTGCTGAGAGTATGTTAAAACAAACAGAAACTACCGTCTCAAGCTTGTTTGTTTCTACTGGGGCTCCTCGAGGAACTGCAATCCTCCCAGTGCTATTGTCCATAAGTACACATAACACGAAGGATTCAGATAAGAACTTTTAAATTGTAGATGATACAGCTCTGGTAGACCTATCCTGAATATCTGAGGCCAGTTGCATGAAACCGGTTTGATTTCCTACTTAGGGGTGCATTTCACGAAGCCAACTGTGGTTGCAAGCTCTGTCGTTATCTACAAAATTCAACAGAACTTGCAAACACAGGTGGCTAACGATTTTGGGAAAAGGCCAGGCAAGTTGAGATTAGTTTAAGCAAACTCTGGTTTTTCGGGCCCAAGAAGGTGGATTGTTTTTAGCTGGCTAACGGCTAACCTTCTCAAACTCTCGCAGGTTTTATTCTGGGTTAGAGATCGCAAACCAAAACGAACCAGCTGTGAGCAAAGTGACATGAATCTGATGCAATAAGGTCACTGCCCCCTCATATCTCTTGCCCCATATTAAAGCAGTTTAGTGGAAATCTTTTGCTGCCATTTATTTTATTTACATTATATGAATTGTTATGTAGAATTCATATAATATATCTATATAATAATTATATTAATTGTCAATTAATATTAAACTTTGCATTTAAATTAATATAAATATCTAAATATAATCTTTAATATATACAGTTTTTAATCTGAATAAGCTTACGTGTATTCTTCTGAGCTCTTTGTGAATCTGTATAAATTATTATTTAAAATCAGTTGATACATGCATTTATTTTTTCATTCAGCTGGCTTCTCAAACTCTCGCTGCAGCAGCAGTGTTTATTCCTGCCTTATACATTTATAAATTCTTGATATTAATAGAAGTGAATTTCACCAGCTCTCACGTGAGAAGTGAATCAAGCTGATGTCAGAGATAGTCTTATTATTAGGAGATACAAGGGTCCGTGGCTCTACCATTGGAGAAAGCATATTGGCTAACTTGGATCAAGTGTGCATTGATAACCAATCACATTACAGCCTTGACGTCATTGAATTTCAATCAGAGTTTTGCGTGCAGATAGAAAGTGTGGTAAGGTACAGTAGAGAGTCCTGGATAAGCAGTGACAACCAAAATGACATTTTATTGACCTCTCTCGGTATCTATTTCTGCAGAATCAGGTAGCTCTGCCTACAGTAAAATCTCACTGGTTGAAAGTTCCACAACACATAGCTGTATATTAAACATCAAATCTATTCTGATTGACTGCAACTGTGTTGCATCTCACGGTTTCATGTTCATCGTGGACAGACAAATTGCTTGCCACTGTAAATTCTGGTCAGGGAACAGTGTTAGTAAACATTGAGGTAAATTCCAGTATCTGTAAATGTATAATATGAACAATGTCTACAGCATTATTTAGGTCTATTTAGGTATCAAAAATTCCCGAACACTTCAGGTCAGTAGGTTCAAAAAGTAAACTAGCAAAAAATATGAGGAAAAACAACAACAACAACAACAAACATTATTTTTGTTGCTCAAACAGAGTGAAACATTCAAATAAATCATTTATAGTAAAAGTTAGGCTGTGTATGAAGCACTGTGGCCTTCCTTGGCCTCAGGACCTTTATGACCTCTTAGTTGTGGAGGAGGCTAAGAAAATAAGAATACACAAACAGTACACTTCTCAAATACATTGAACCTCCACCTTCAGGGAGGAGGTAGATAATTCCTCCTCTCAGTAAAAACAAATTACAAAGGCATTTTTTCATTCCCGTAGCTGTAAGCCTTTAAATAAGGACAATGCCTGACTTTGTGAGGGGATGCGCACCATGGGGGAGTGCATATTGTCAGTCTCTGTTTTACTATGACTTAATTATGATTTGTCTAGTATTTGTCTTGTGGGTTATAATATGTGCCAAAAGCCAATGTGCAATAAATTGTATTGTACTTTATAATAACATTTTATAGACATAGCCTATCTGGAATTTTTATTTGATAGAAATTTTGGTAACACTTTATTTTTAACTCTATTGAAAGTTAATTATAGTCAACAGAATGTGTTAAAGGTGCAGTATGTAATATTGACAGCTAGCGGTTCAAATGGGTACTGCAGTCCAAATTCAAAATATTGGAGAGGGTTGTTTCCCCGCCACCACCTCCTCAGACTCCACGCTCACGCAGGTTGCTAATTTCACGCGGGTTGCGCAATGGACAATGGAAGGCGATGAGCACTTGTAAGTTGATTCATCCGCATTTAATATGCCTCTGGACATAGAGCTTTTCAGATGGATGCCGAGGCTTTTTAGGTCAGGTAGAATCTGCGATCTCTGACCTAGTTTGTTTGCTGACTTCCGTGGCTACAATATGCGGTGTTTTCCGCTAGCTGGCAACCCGGGGTGTCGAAATACTATTGGGTAAACTGGCAGTGGGCGAGATCACACAGACCAAAACAAAAGCAGACATTCCGTCACGGAACTCATATTTCAAGTAAAGGATAATGTACATCCAGCCAGTTGTTCTCTCAAAATAAACCCCGACAGGGTGATGAGGACCCCGATGCTACGCGAAGCTGAATGTACATTATCCCGCTTATAACACGGCTATTTGCCACACAAGTAAATAATTAGACACGAAATATTGATCTGAGTTTAAATATTTTATTAGGTCTTTAAACGCAAAGCTTCTGCGGAGAGAGCAGTTGCAAGTTCAAACTAGACGGACATTTAAGAGATACGGTTTACAGTCATACAGCTTATTACACAGCATTTCACCACATAAATAATTATGGAGATAAGAGATATTGATTTCAGATTAAACTGTTTTAAAATCGTACCTGTTTGTATCTCATAATCGAGTCCAGCGAGAGAGCGAGTACACGATACTGGATGGCATAATTAAATAACTGTACACAAAATATTGATTCGACTGAGTTTTAATATTTTATTAGCTCACCAAATGCAAAACTTCCACGAAGAAAAAACTTTCCTAGCAATGTATAGCGCTGCTGACTTCAGTAACCCGGATGAGCCTGCGTTATCTGTTTTGAGTGGTCGTTCTCTGGGAATAACACACCGCTGGATGGTGCGATTGACCAATCAGAATCAAGTATTCCACAGAGCCGTGTAATAAAGTAGAATAACTGGCTGTAGCATTGTTTTTCGGAGAAAACTTAGACTGTGAACTTAGACTGGTTCCTAAATATCTGCAAACGTATTATGGTATTTTATGGTACTTTAGTAACTTCAAAAAGTTACATACAGCACCTTTAAAAGGACCATCAAAATAAAGTGATTTTTTCCACAAAAGGGCATTGACAATTTTCTACTTTTCAGTTACCTGATTTTCAATATAATAATATATAATATATTGAAATCTGTATTAGTCTATATGGTTTTATATATGGATGCATCGATTTGGGCATTTTTGGCCGATAATGATAGTGATACCAGTTTAGTTTATTTTAGTTTTATTTTAAACATGGCCAAATGAATGCATCCTTTAATATTTTATAATCTTATAATTCATAATAATTCATTAGATTGTAATTAAAAGAACATTTAATAATTTATATATTAATATTTAATATAATCTTTAATTATAATCATAGTAATCTTATTAGTGCCATATTGAGATAATTGTTTTATTAAAAAATGGAGTTTGTTCCTGAATCACAATAACATGTAGATTAAATCTGATTGTCTGTTATAGCTGTTAAAATGTTTTATTTAAACACTGCTATATAAGCAGTAACTCATTATCCCTTCCAACTAACTCAAGGTAATAGTTTTTGTTCAACAACAAACAATAGTAATTACATCTCAATAGGAATCACATTGCAATTAAAATCACATCAGAATAAAAAAGACAATCATTCACACACACATACAGACATTAATTTTACCTCTTATCTCAAGATCTCTGTTACCATCTAAGAACAGGAACTTTTGGAGAGGAAACCTGGAAAACCTGTGTGGTAGAGAGACAGAAAGAGAGAATGAGATAAGCATTTTGTATAAGCATTTTTGTCTTAGCTTGTACAATTTTGAAGAAAAAACAAAACATTGAGAGAAGTATTTCTGTATGAAGAAGTACACAATGCCACACTCCTATTTAATTAAACAGAGATAGGCTATACACACTGAACACGCCAGGTAAGAATACAAGAGTTAAAAGGGATAGTTCACCCAAAAATGAAAATTCAGTCATCAAGTTGTTTCAAACCTGTATGAACACAAAGGAAGATATTTTGAAGAATGTTTCAAACAGTTGATGGTCCCCATCGACTTACTTAGTATTTTTTTTTCCTACTATGAAAGTCAATGGGGCCCATCAACTGTCAGGTTATCAACATTCTTCAAAATATCTTCTTTTGTGTTCAGCAGAAGAAAGAAACTCATAGGTTTTTTAACAACTTGAGTAAATGATGACAGAATTTAAATTTTTGGGTGAACTATCCCTTTAAGGTCTGCAAAACTGTTACTTCCTCTCAGTCTATTGTTCTTTCCTCAGAGGGAAAGAAATTCTAAGAGAGAGAGAGAGAGAGAGAGAGAGAGAGAAAGAGGAATATGTCTCCACTGACAGTTGAAACGTTAAATGTGAAGCATTAAATCTTGATCTATGGTTACTGGGTGCATTTACGCTGAATGGGGAAACTGAAGGAAAACCACATTCTCTGGACAGAGAATAATCAACTGATTGGATAACTAAACATATGCAAAATGAACACTCATATTGAATGCAAAATGTGGTTCTTTTCTACAAAAAAAAAAAAAAAAAAAAAAAAAAACAGCAGTGTAGGATTTAGTGCATTCTGGAATGATCCCTGAACATCGCCTGATTGTCTGCCATGAACTAAGACTACTTATCTCTTCTAAATCAAAAACATGACCAGCTTCAGTCAGTTTTGGCTGTATTTTGTCTGCACTGATGAGAGCAGGGTTCAAAACTAACACTTGCCAAGCACCAAAATTAAATAAAGTTCCTCGCCAATTGGCTGATTTTTTTGTTTCAAACAGCATGGTTTAAATCACATTGTAAGAATGAGTCTCAACCCTCTCTTATTTAAGAGACTAGCTTGATTCAAATGGAACAGTCTGTTGAAGAAAACACATGTGCCTTGCCTTCTAACAGCTTCCTCCTCTAGGATGCCTTGAGTCATTTTTTCCCTCTAGAATTCCATGTGGCTAAAATACATGGGATATTTCTCGCATTCAACTTTCAAAATGAAAAGGAATAAATTCACAATGTGTCTTCTTCACATTTTTGTGCAATTTCACTGACAGATGGAGCTGTCACCAGCTTGTTTACGATGCTTCAAGTGAACACAATGACCTGCGCGGTTTGTCACTTAGTGAAATTTGTGTGCAGTTGTATACAACATTTGGTCACAATTCACTTTCATTCTATGGAAAAGATCAGCCAAAAAACTCTATCTGTATATAACTCCCGTCTGTGGCTTTTACCCCAGAAAAAATATAATGTTTTGATCAACAGCTATCGACAACTCCTTCAACTTATCCATTTCGACACAAGCGTGAAACCCAAAGGTTCAAATTCTTCCCCATTTTCAACACAACTGACTGTAGAAAGCCAGCCAGGATTAGACCCCATGGGGAGGATTATGTAATCTCACAGAGAAACTCTCTCTCGACAGAGACCATGGTAAGATAAGAAGGAATCCATGTAGAAAACCATGCGCGACAGATGTTAATGAGGCGAGGAGGGAAAATTTGTGCGTGATCTGATGTGATAGCGCCGAGAGAGGAAGACAAACATAAACATTTGTGAGTGAGTGCATGTGAGGAGGAACAGATAAGCAGTGGAGAGAATACAAACACTGCTTTAGATGGCAAAGAGGCATTTGTATGCAGTTTCATATGGTGAGTGGCGACAAGTTTATACAGAGTGAACTGTCACACACATCAACACAAAAACACTCATCCCACACTTTGCCGGCAGCTGGAAGGGCCGAGGGCAACTTTCTATCAATGTTCAAACGGCCACAAACACAATCAGAGTTTTTATTGCATTTATTGACGGCCGCACAAAGACAACCCCGAAGCTGTCGCGTCACTCACACTGCGCAAATACTTTCAAGCTGATATCCAAAAGAGCATTCCTCGCTCTCTCACACTCTTCCATCCCTCCAGCTAAAAAGGCTAATATGATGAAGCAACACCAAATGAATCCCCCACTATTTCCACACTGACTATCACTCGCTTTCTCTAAGGATAAGCATATTTATGGCCAGTGAGGATATAGCAGATCCGACAGCAGGGAGGGACTGGTGCCAGCTGACCTTATGCAACAATAATATAATATAATATAATATAATATAATATAATATAATATAATATAATATAATATAATATAATATAATATAATATAATATAATATACACACACACACACATTTCAAGATCAGTTCTCTTCAGATGTAGTTCTTGCTTTCTGGGAATAAACGAGCCATTTTCCCTCTCGATCTATTGACAGAAATTAGACTAATGGTGCAAAGAATAAAATAATTGTGGATCAATAAAAGAGTAATTTTCTCTTTAGAGAAATAATTCAACTGTTAGACACTCATTTCTGAAGCCGTATGATGTTTTCTTCCATGGACCAACAAAGACGATCTTTTCCATACAATGAAAGTGAAAAGTGACAAACAGCTATAGCATCAAAAAGACTAAAAAGCTAAATAACATAAAAGTAGTTTATTCGACTTGTGCGCCATTTTCTGAAATAATTTCAAGCTATGTGTGAGGAACTGTCACAGTTATGTTCTGTTATGGTCATGTTTCTTTGTGTTTTGACTCTGCCTTCATTGTCTGCTAGTTTGACCTGATTTAGTCATTCATTGTATTCACCTGTTGCCCATCAATTATCTCAGTTCTGGTATAAGTACTCCCTGTTTTGTTCAGTTCTTTGTCTCTTGTCTATGTTTGATGGTCGTTATTTTGCCTGTCGTCATCTTCATATTACTCATTGAGGATTATTAATTAAAGACTCTTGACTTTTATCTTTGTCGTAGTGTAGTCTATACAACCAGTCTGTGATGGGAACATACTCAAATTAAATATAACATACTGAAAATTCATGCATATTAGCTTAATTTCAATAGCGCAGAGTTCGATTATTAATATGGGAGATGTGATTAAAAGTGAATAATTACTTACATTTTTAGAATGTGTTGAATAAAGCAAAGCAGTCAAATGAGCTACTGGTTACATACCTGCCAACTTTTGAGTTTTGCTCGGCGTGAGATTTGTTGACGGGGGGGGGGGGGGGGGGGATGGGGGAGGGGGGATCGGGGATCGGGGGGTAGAGACGAGTGAGATTTGTTGACGGGGGGGGGGGGGGGGGAGGGGGGATCGGGGGGTAGAGACGAGTGAGATTTGTTGACGGGGGGGGGGTCTCGCTCGCGCAAGGTCTCTCGCTCGCGCAAGGTCTCTCGCTCGCTCTACGCGGTTTGGAGCACAATCTCTGTCTCGCATGCACGCTCGCTCTAGATAACGGGAAATTTTTAACGAATTTGCGGTATAACTAGTCGATCACGAGTGGCTCAACAGGTAGATATATAGATAAACTCATCTTCCAGGCATTTGACCGCCCGGGTTGACACTTCAGCGTGAGAAATCGGGAGTGTGGCGTGTGAGCGTGTGAAACCAATCAAATGCGGGTGTCTCACGGCCAATGCGTGAGAGTTGGCAGCTATGTGGTTATGGTAATTTTATGGTGCTTTTTGTCATTTATGGAGCTTGACAGCCCTTGTCACCATTCACTTTATTATAGGAAAAACAGCAGAGCGAACATTCTGCAAACTTTAGCAGTTGCATGGAAGAAAGAATGCCATACAAGTTTAACACATAAAAACAAACCATCCGGGACAACAGAACACTCTAATAAATATGGACTTGACATAGTAGGCCTACAATTAATTCAGCACCCAAGTTTCACTCTAGTAAGTAAGGGATAACTCCGCATCACGTCAGGCGATTCTTTGTCTCCACGTAGTGGATTATCTCGCTTTATACCATGGTCATTATGCCAGCATTGACAACTTAAAGCTGTTATTGATGTTTATTTGACTGGAATGGTAAAATTGACGGTGCTTTAGATCTAGCATTCTGCCCGCTTTGAATCAGACACAGAGATAAAGTAGTGCGTAAGATTACATTTATTTGAATGAATGAATTATAGCATTTATTTGAATTGATTGTCGAGAGAGAGAGAGATTTGTACCTGCCTCTGTTCAGCGTCTCTCCATTAACAATGAAGCTGTGAGTTTTACTTTAAAATAGCGATGTAACCCCCTCGTTGCTAAGAAATATAATGTAGTGATTCAGTAGCAAATCTATTTTACTACTAAAAGTCGTGGCAGCGTTGATAAGTTTCTGTGCTCCTGAATGTTTCTGTGTGTGCGCAGCGCAATCTCTGCTCTCTGTGTGCGAGTGACTTATGTTGCGTGTGCGCTTCAAAGAAAACAGCGCATTAATAGAACGTGATTAAACTGACTTGGAACTACCTGTGGATTGCATTCACACAGACCATGGTATAAATGTAATATGAATCACAGTGTGTTGTTTGACTTCATCCTAACAAACAATTAAAAGTGGTAGGCTACTTGAACTATTGAATCTATAGTCCCTCCATTCAGTGTTGCCAGACGTACGATAATTTTGACCTCTGTACGATGTACGATCAATAATGAAAAAAATCCCATAATGTACGATAATTTCTGAATTTTGTGACACTTCAATCGGAGGTCATTGTAATCATAGTGCTTCTATACTCATTGATCTAGCTGTGGATCTACGTCATGATTGTGAGGAGAAAGTGAAGGTGAGAGAGCACAGAAGAGAGGGAGGGAGCGAGAGACCTTGCGTGTGTGCCTCATGAAAGCTACTCCCCCCGTCAACAATCCGGTCAACCTAATTTTTGAGCTGAAATAATTTATTGAGTCCCTGT